ATGCAAAAATTAGTATTAAAAACAACTGTGGTATGTGTGTTCGAAACGCACAACACCCTTACCTGCAGGAGAGTCACGGCACAATAATGCTTTCTCTAGAAAACGGTTTTATAAAGTTACTCAAATTTGTTTTAGCTGCACCTATCGCTAGTTTTGACGAATATCATTGTACAACCTTTGTCTAATGAACAGGAAAATCGGCATATGGAAGGGATTACACGAGTTTTGTCCAAACCTTTTTATCTTAATGTACCCTTTGCTACGCACATGGTGTGATTCTATGTACCAGAAATGCCTAAGCAGCATCAAACTAATTGAAATTTACTTAGTTAATCATTGTCAGTATCCTCACTTCTATTACTGTTCTTCACTGATATCTTATCAATTCTACTTTTTTGTCATTCACATTAATAAAGTAAACGCAGAAGTGATGTATTATTTCGATGTGTGAATGTATTTGTGAATAGACCTACAAGTGAGCGTGCGTGTGTTCTCCTAAGTGCCCCTTGCAGCAACGCCGTGGGTTAATACTTCATCTCAAAATGTGTGGAGAGGTCGAACACTTTGTTAATCAAATTAAACTTATTACTGACAGTAATCGTTTGATCAAGTGAAATACAAATTCAAAATATTTTATTTAATCAAAGAAAACGTTTTCAGGTTCTCTCTTAAACTTCCCTTTCAGATTACTAACGATCATATTTACACAACGCAAACGAAAAATAAAATACCGAAATCTCCCAATGAAAATCGGTTATACTACCAATACAAAAGTTTTTTTTTTGTCTCACTTTCTTCAATAAATCTAGTTTTTTTTTTGCGGTTTCTATTACATCTGACCCTACCGATGAAGAATGAGTCGAGTGTAAAGTTCGCATCCTTGAGGAATTTTTTTATTACCGAAATTGAAAATGGCCGCCGCTATAACATTTATGGCTAAAACTCGGCCTATTTTTGTCTCAGTATTCTGTATTTGGTGTCATATTCTATGTTTTCAAGGGCTAGAAATCGACTGAAATAAATTCCATACACTTCCGGAAGTATGTTACTAGATTTCCCTTAAATTCGCGAGGAACATAATACTGGCATACATCTTTATTAATGCATTGACATGAACTATGTGTCTACATTCATGTTTTTGAGATGCCCAGCAGATGATGCCATTTTTCTCTTCACTGGGGCATTATAACTACATAAGGCAAGTATATGTTCACTTTCAAGCAGTTCCTAGAGGTAATATGGTGATAAAATTCCATCAGTTCTTTTAAAAAATGATTGTTTAACGAGTATAATTAACCACATTGTTATTTAGCTTCCCATTATTTGATCATGCTTCCGTTAAAGAATATGTTTAGATAAAAAGGCTGTTCTATGGCTTTATCACTTAGATTGTCGAGTGTATTGCCATGCATTTCAGGCTGTCTCCAGACTGCTGACACCTACCTTAAATTTGATAGTCACTACAGGAGGGTGTGTTCCACAGTTACAGAAAACAAGGTCCAGATTTTACCATCATCTATGAATATCTGTCTGACAATCATCATCTACTGTGCTACACAATAGGAGCTAGTTGTTGTCAGAGACCCAGGGTATAGTCAACTTCCCTAAGGATCAAGCTCAGTTTCTTACAGAAAACAGAGCTGACCGACGCGACGGTTGAAAAGTAAGCAGTCAGTTGAAGATAAGAATATCATGATGGTTCTTCGTGGGTTCTTAGTCATTTATGATGTGGAGGCTGTTACATCACATCCCCTGGTTCTATGCGCTTCCCACTCGGCAAAGGAAAAGGCCCCAACCCGACGGGAGCCCCAGTCAGTTTCCTTGACTTGGAGATTGTGGCTCCTACAGCTTGCGAACTTACGTGCCAAGTCGCATTGGCGCTTTTTTAAGCGCCAAAATGTGGTAACCAATAGGTCAACTGTAATGGCAAGACAAGTGTGATGTGTTTCGGCACGATTAAAGTCTAGGGTATTATCTAGTACCCATAGCATGTTCAAAATTACGTTCGGGGGGAAAGACACCTGGATGAACAAAACAACAACATTCAATAATTAATTTACTTATATTTTACGTATATACATGTTTGAAAATAGAACCATCGCACTTTTTCAAATGTCGAATAAATAATGATCTCGACATATATGTATATATATATATATAACTATATATATATATATATATAAAACTATATATAACTATATAACTCTCGCTCTCTCTCTCTCTCTCTCTCTCTCTCTCTCTCTCTCTCTCTCTTCT